TGGGTCTTGTGTTTTTACATGCTCTCCCCTCGCCGGACGGACCAGCCACGTCACCGCCGGACCCACACATTACTCACCTCTTGGACGAGTATGGAGAAGTCTTCGAGGCTCCCATCGGAACGGTTCCGGATCGGCCCATACGTCACGGGATCACTCTCAAGGCTGGTGCCGTCCCTCCGCGTGGATGCATTTACCGCATGAGCGAAGAAGAACTCGAGGTGCTTCGCGCACAACTCGATGACCTTCTGGCCCTAGTTGTTCGCCATATGGTGCACTGGTTCTCTTCGTCCGGAAGAAGAACAAGGACCTACAGTTGTGCATTGACTATCGAAAACTTAACGCACAAACCGTTAAGAACGCGGCCCTCTCCCTCGGATCGATGATCTCCTCGAGCGTTTGGGCGGCGCGACGCACTTCTCGAAGTTGGACTTGAAGTCGGGTTACCACCAGATTGAAATCCACGCTCAAGATCGGTACAAGACCGCCTTCAAAACGAGGTGTCGGCATTTTGAGTGGGTCGTGATGCCATTTGGACTCACCAATGCACCGACAACTTTCCAAGAAGCCATGACAACGGAGTTCCGAGACTTGCTCGATCGTTCCGTCCTCATCTACCTCGATGATATCTTGGTCTATAGCAGGACGCTTGACGAGCACCTCGTACACCTCCGTGTGGTGTTGGATCGTTTGCGAGCAGTCAAGTACAAAGCAAACCGCGACAAGTGCGAATTCGCCAAGCAAGAGCTTGAGTACTTGGGCCATTATGTGACGCCGAAAGGCATTCGTCCCTTAGCGGACAAGATCCAAGCCATCGTGGATTGGTCGGAACCCCGTTGCAGGACAGACGTACGCTCTTTCATGGGGTTGGTTGGATACTATCAGCGCTTCGTCGAGTCTTACTCCAAAGTGGCAGCTCCTTTGTCGAGACTTCAGTCCCCCAAGGTACCATTCGAGTTCGACGACGCAGCTCGTGGCGCGTTCAATACGTTGAAGGTGGCGATGCAAGACACACCGGCCCTCCGTATCTATGATCCCACCCTACCCACCCAAGTGACTACGGATGCTTCCGGGTACAGTATTGGTGCGGTATTGGAATAATGCCACACGGATGGTTGGCACCCGGTCGAGTACTTCTCCCAAAAAGTGCCTCCCATCAACACTCTCGACGACGCTAGGAAGAAAGAGCTACTCGCGTTCGTCACCGTTCTCAAACGGTGGCGCCACTTTCTTCTCGGTCGTCTGCATTTTAGATGGAACACGGACAACAATCCGTAAACCTTCTACAAAACGCAGGACACGGTCACTAGCACGATCGGTCGATGGATGTATTACATCGACCCGTTCGACTTTGAGTCGTGCCACATTCCCGGTCCTGCCAATCGAGCAGCGGACGCCCTCTCACGACAGCCCGATCTTTGTGCCCTTGTGACCACGACGTTCGACCTCGACGACGATCTGCAGCAACATTTTGTCAACGGCTACAAGTCTGATCCGACATACTCTACTCTTTATGCGGACCTATCATCGGATCACCCGCCGGCTGGTCATTATCGTATCTCCGACCGTTTGTTAGTGGTGCCCCAAGATCGCATCTTACGGACTCGTCTTCTCGGCGGATTCCACAACGCACGACTTTCGGCACACCTTGGCGTGACCCGCACATTGGCTCGCCTCCGCCAGCGTTTTCACTGGCCCGATGTCCTTCACGACGTCACGAGATACATTGAGTCATGCGCAGTTCGCCATCGTAACAAAGGTCGATCTACGGTCCCTTATGGCGAACTGAAACCGATGCCGATTCCTCGGGCACCACGCCTCTTCATTGCTATGGATGTTACAGGCCTGTTCCCCCGCGATCGCCTCGGCCATGACGGCATTCTCACGGTCGTTGACCGTTTGAGCAAGTACGCTCGTTTTCTTCCATGCAAGTATGGCGCTACAGCCCCCGAGCTCGCTCGACTCGTGCACACCGGCTGGATTACCGCCCATGGTGTTTCGGAAGATATTGTGAGCGATAGAGACACTCGCTTCATGTCTACCTTTTGGACTTCCCTCATGACGGAGTCTGGTTCGACTATGAAGCCGAGTTCCGCACGGCACCCGCAGACGGATGGACAGTCGGAACGAGCGCATCAAACCCCGCTCAAATGATGTTGCGTACACTCATCCGTCCCGACCAGAAAGACTGGGTTGACCGGCTTCCCGACATAGAGTTCGCCTATAACACTTCGGTGCATCTGGCGATCTGCCTCACTCCATTTGAGTTACATCACGGTGGAGAGAAGGCCCGAGTCTTCGCCGGTCTTCTTCTACCACGGGCCGCCGACATAGATGTCGCTTGCTCTCGTGCTTCCGTCCGGAAGTATCGGGACTTGCTGATCAAAGCCTGCGCGAACATGCAAAAGGCTCAAATCCGCATGCAGCAGCAAGCCAGCCGACGTCGACTCCCATGTTCTTTCCGCGAGGGAGACCTTGTTTGGGTCCTCGCCGAGGAATTCACGCTCGAGCAGGACGTCTCCCGAAATGGTTTGGACCATGGAAGGTAGTTTCTGCAGCAGGCAACGACCCTGCAGGTCCTTCCTTTGTGATTGCCATTCCACCGCACCTCCGTGTGCATCCGGCCTTCCATGCGTCGAAGCTGGCCATCTACATGCCACCATCCGTAGACGAGTTCCCAGGCAGACGATCACAGGATCCACCCTCTATGGACGGCCATCAGGAAGTTGACCGTGTCATCAGGCACCGCAAGTTTGGCAACAAGCCAATGCAATACCAAGTCACTTTCAAGCAATGTGACCCGGAGGACACTCGTTGGATCTCCCGCGCAGACTTCATCTGCACCTCTCATCTTCTCCAACTACGAGACGCGAAGACTTGCCAAGGACAAAGCTCGTCCCACCTGACCCACCCCGGTATCGGACAGACAACTTCGCCCTCGCAGGTAGCTCGGTCTTTTAAGGGGGGGAGTGTGTTACACACCGTGTCACACGGGCCCGGTTAGGCCCGACAGATAGGGGTTCGGAGGCCTGTCCAGGCCCAAGGCCGGACCTTTAAACCGGAAGCGCCATTTGCAGGCCCACCGGTTGGCCTTTAGGCCACATTTCGGACCAGACCAGACGGGCAGGCCCAAACGACGTTACCGTTGGGCCTGGCAGTGCTCTTGAGGCTGCCGCCCGCCGGTCTGATCTGAATCGTCACTTTTGACGATTCATATCACGGCTCGGCCTCGTAGCATAGAGGCCGGCCTTTCCACACTGGTACTTAGGTACTGGGAGGCCGCCTGTTCGGGCATTCTGGAGCAGCAGCACTCGGAGGAACGCTGCGCTATTCTGTTTAGAGCGCAGCGCTACAGCAGTAGCGCAGATTAGCGCTAGACTGCAGTTCAGGGATAGAGAGCGATTGGGGAACTTACCTGTGGCGCCATAGCTTCCACAGGCTTGGACTGCAGAAGGCTTCAAGGTACCACCTTGCATCCTGCAGGTATGGTTTACAGCCAGGACAGGGCAGTGAGGATTCTCCTCCTCCCTACCTCACCATCTCTCCCTCCTCCTCTGCGATCTCCTCTTCTTCTTCTCTTCTTCTCCTCTTCTTCTCCTTCTTCTTCAGACTTCTTCTTCCTCTCCTTCAGACTTCTTCTTCTTCCTCTTCAGACTTCTTCTTCTCCTTCTTCAGATTGGAGACTTGATACAAGTTGGACAGAGATCAGTGTTGGACTTCGGTGGTAAGAGGCTGTGATACTTACCGGATTCGAGACTTGAAGATCGTTGGGATTGATACTCGGCGGCATCACAGATTGGACACCACTTACATTAGGACTCTGTACCTCTGACATTGGTGACTTATTGTTCGATGACATTTTGGACTACCATATCGGTGACCTACTGGATTCTATCTCGGTGACATCTGGCGCTGCCTACATCTCCCACCTCCTTCGTCTCTCCTCCCACCTTTCATCTGTGTATGGTTGTACGGGGCCTGAGCATCGTCTATGATTGGCTCAGACCCCATCATCTCACGATTGCTTGTGTGATGAGTGATATCTGTATGAGTTCAGTCTATGTGAGTCAGTCCATTTATCAGACTTCCGCTGCACACATGCTCACCCTATATTGGTTGATCTTTGGGTCTGCTCATACTTGTTGAAGTACTCACTAGTATGCAACAGTACGTGAGGTCAATGCCAATGCAGACTGCTAGCATACACCAGGTACGTGTCTCACACCTCTCGTCATAAACCCTTGTCTACCCCACAGTGTGTCCCTCATCACCCGAAGACCATCATCGCCATCACCAAGCATGCGCCCAGCAGCCCGGCTATGGCCGACGTTCGCGCGCTGCCACCGCAGCGCCCGTGCGCACCCTGCAGCGTGGCCACATTGCCTGCACAGGCCAGAATGTTCCTGGCTGGAATGTTCACTTTGCTTTATGGAAAGTGAGCCCTGCTTGGCTGTGCCTTGGGCCTGGCTGGGCGGGTTTCTAGTGGCTTCCAGTCGGGCCCCAGTGTCTGCGCCCAGGCTGAGTTTCAGATACTGGCCTGGGGTCCGTGCAGGTAGGTACGTCCAGGTGGCCCACGAGGCTCCAAGCGTTCGGCGCAATCCCATTGGCAACTGTATGACGCAGCTGCTGCTTCTGGAAGGAGCCAGGGGTGGCTCACATTCTCTGTAACCAACTGGCGTGCTGTAACTGGGTGGCTCGCATTCTCTATAACCAACTGGCGTGCTGTAACTGTCTGATACCGCACATACGAAGAATGGCAAAAATAGGCCTCACGCAAATATGCAGGCCTGCCTTCACTTAGGGCGGGCATGAAGCCTGCTGGGGGCGTATGCCCAGAACGTCTGTGACCCCAAGAAGGGCCTTGCGAGGGCTCAATCCTCGCACTTTTAGTCCGCAAAGGTGAAACTTAGTTTTAGTAGCCTTTTTCTGTTTTAGAATTTTTTCTTAGTCCTGATGTTGTGTTTGTTGTCGCCGTGTCACCATTTGTTGTTGAAAAAATGTAGGCAGAGAAAAAACGAGATGCTGCACTGGCGAAGTTGAAAAAGATGGAGGACGATTATGTTGAAGGCTTGAAGAAGTGCGCTGCATCAATTGAGAAGGACCCGGTGATCTTAAGCGAAGAAGATAGAAAGGCACTAAGGAAAAAGGGTCTGAGGCAAAAGTCCTATCTCCCAGTGGGTCGGAGGGGTATTTTCGGCGGAACGATTGAGAACATGCACCTGCACTGGAAGCGGCATGAAGTCGTCAAAGTCGAGTTTTCCACCACGCCGAAGCACATGATGCGTGCGGTAGCAGAGCAGCTCGCTCGGCTCAGCGGCGGCATACTGCTCGACATCGTCAATCGCAATGAAGTCCTCGTATACCGAGGAAAGAACTATGAACGACCGCCGCAGATTCGACCAAAGCAAATGATCAGCAAACGACAGGTATGCAAGGAAAATGAGCCATGCGAAGTAAAGAAACCAAATTGCATCATCTCATGGAAAGCCAGAACACCGTGTGCTCGAACAGAATGCAGAATGCACCAAGTGCACACCAAATAAGAGCAAAGCAATGAACTCAAATGACAATTTAGCCCTTAACTCGCCTCCACCACCATTGTATCCAATGTCGCCATTCTAACATGGCGCCTGGCACCCACACTACCATCAGAGAGCACCTAAGCAGTAGCGTATTCAACTATGACGTGAACAGGTCTTCACGAAGTACAGCTGCCAAATGACTAATGGACTTCAGCTTCACCACCATCACCAGGTACGTCCCTCTTCACCGCCCAATCACCTTTCACCCACACTGTGCCCCAGCCCAAGGACCTTCCCTCAATCCCCCTTTGACGATGTGCGAGCAGCAGCTCGGCTATGGCCGCTGCGTAGCTTAAGCTGCACCAAGCAGCTTTCCAGCATTCTCCTCCAGAGCGGCCAGCCTTCTGTGCGCTTCAAGCCAGCCAGCATCGCAGATGCGCTCACGAATGAGGCTCCAGGCCAGAATGTCTTCACTGGGCCTCAGCACTTTCCTTTAGGGAAAGTGATTCTGGCTTGGACGCACGCCACTGGTACCCGGTAGCTTCAGGGCCTCGTCCAGTATCTGCGCCCAGGGCCGTTTTGGAATGTGCCCTGGGCCCATTTGGTTGAGGGGCTCAACTGTCCAACATGGCTGCCACTGTTTCCTTCATGCTCATTGGTGGAAAGGCCTTGGGCCACATCGCACACACGGGATCCCAGATCCTGGTCACACATCCACTGTATTCGCCTGCAACTAACTGGCGCCCAGGGCCAGGGATCCCCCATTTCGACTCAGAAAATTTCCGGGGTCTCAACATTTGTATGTATCTGGATGTACATTGCTTGTGGATGCCTTGCTGACATTGCATTGTCCACTCGAGTTCGTTTCATCACTTGGCGGATCCTTGGCTCCCCATAGCATTGCTCGACTGAGCATGTATCACCTCCTCACAGTTCTGTTTGCAACAGTGCTGGTCCCGGGATGGACCGAGGGACCTTCGACCGGCCGAGAGCCTGCCGGTTGGACCGGGTGGTTCACCAGCCCGACAGGGCCCCGGTTCAATCGGGCGCACTGCGTTTGGGGGGGAGGTAACTGGGGATTTTTGGGCGTCCCCATCCCCGCCCAGCCTTTGGGAGGCCGCCGCCACCACTTCGGAAGACAACTGGGACCTACTGGACCCCGTTTTCTTAAGAAAACGAACGGCCAATCCCTGCCGCCGATCGATGCAGATCGACGGTGGAGATCAGCCGAGCGTTTTCTGAAGAGACTAGGGTCCGGTAGGGCCCCGTTTTCGAATTTGAAAACGCGGTCGTGTTTTCAAAACATCTCGTGGCCCTGTTTTTGGATGCCTTCGTCCAGCCTGCCCCAGTCTGTGCAGCAGCACGCGACGTTGACGTTGCGCCACTCAGCATGTGTGTGCTGCGACAACATGCCACTCAGCATGTGTGTGCTGCGACAACATGCCACTCAGCATGTGTGTGCTGCGACAACATAACCAGCGCCAGCGCCTTGTCTCCAGCCCGCCATCGGCATAGCACTGCAGCTGCTTCGCGCCGCCACCCTGCTTCATTGCAAACGCCCCCCATAGCCGCGAATGTAGGTCCGGCAGTTATAGTTTCTTTTTTCTTTCCTTTTTCTTTTCTTGACGTTCTTCTTCTTCTTCTTCTTCTTCTTCTTCTTCTTCTTCTTCTTCTCTCGTTTTCTTCTTCGTGGTTTTCTTTTACACCACCCTCTCCTCCTCCTCTTCCTCCTCCTCCTCCTCTTCTGCTTCTTCGTCTTCTCTTCTCCTCCTCCTCTTCTTCTTCTTCTCCTCCTCCTCCTCCTCCTCCTCCTCCTCCTCCTCCTCCTCCCTTCTTCTTTTCTTGACCTTCTTCTTCTTCTTCTTCTTCTTCTTCTTCTTCTTCTTCTTCTTCTTCTTCTCTCGTTTTCTTCTTCGTGGTTTTCTTTTACACCACCCTCTCCTCCTCTTCCTCCTCCTCCTCCTCTTCTGCTTCTTCGTCTTCTCTTCTCCTCCTCTTCTTCTTCTTCTTCTTCTCTTCTCCTCCTCCTCCTCCTCCCTTCTTCTTCTTCTTCTTCTTCTTCTTCTCCTTCTCCTTCTTCTCCTCATTTTCCTTTTCCTTCTCCTTCTCCTCCTCCTTCTCCTCCTCCTCCTTCTCCTCCTTCTCCTTCTTCTCCTGCTTTTCCTTCTCCTCCTCCTCCTCCTCCTCCTCCTCCTTCTTGAGCCATAGCCATAGCGAGTTTTTTTTTTATCTTCGGTGTCAGACTCTTCTTCTTCTTCTTCTTCTTCGTTTCCTTTTCCTCCTCCTCTTCTTCTCTTCGTCGTCCTCCTCCTCCTCCTCTGCTTCCCTCCCTGTTGAGTCAGAGCCATAACCCCCCCCTATCCAACCCCCCCAACCGAAAGAAACATCCTGACTTTGCAAGTTTTAATGCAGAATCTGACAGATCTCAGTGAGCACAGTCGGATGCCACAATCCGAAACCCCCGCTGGACTGGTCCGGCCCCGGTTGCACTGGGGCAGGTGATCCGGCCGGTTGCTGACCCAGCCTTGGTTTGTAATAGTTATCGAACGAAAAAGCACACAAGCAGCCTTAAGAGTCTGTCCACTTTTCATGCTTGAGTTTTTTTCCACAAGAATCTGTCCACTTCTCAGCCATGACGAGGTGTCACCTCTCATCCATGCTTTGCAGAGGATAGTATCAACTATCTGACCCCCACAACCATATAGTTCCCCATCATGTTGGCCATTCACCGAGATGTCCAGCTTAGAGTTAGAGATCCGAACTACGTTTGGGTTATTACTGCTGTTCAAAGAGAGTTGAATGGGGTCATACTCGCCACTCCTGGGGGGGGGTGTCAGTAAGCTGAACTTCCTCGCCCTGCCGTGTGGTACGAGCGTGGTAGAGTGACCATCTGTGAATAACTGGAAAAATGGTGTAAGGCGCCATAACAACCAGTTGTTCATCTTACCCTTGCTTAGGAGATCGAACATCGACCTCACTGTGACAATGCGCAGACATACAGACACAGGTTAGCTGTTAATCACCATGTCGACCTGTGTATTTCCATGCCCAAGAGTGGTGATGTCCTCATTCTTCTGTGGCTGAACTTCCTGCTGTTGGGTGGCCATGGCTCCGGTCGTTGGGGACGACAATGCAACATCAACAGCTTCTTCTGGAAAAAGGCTGCTGCCGTGAGGGCCCTCTGTGTGGGGGACGGAATGACTACTGCCTCTTTCCGGGTGATTTGTTCTTGTTGTGGGCGAAACCTCTGGAGCCTGAGGCAAGTAGGTAGCTCGTGAGGGGAGCAAGGCGCTACCCGTGAGGAGCGCAAATGGTTTCTTGGCAAAGAATAATTTGCCAAAAACGGGGCCAGCTGTGATGTGCGATCCTTCTCTACTGCAAGAACAACGACCATCATGATATCTCGCATGACCACGAACGCGAGGCACAACTTGATCGGCTTCCAAGCTCCCCTGAGCAGGTGACGCAGGAATCCAGTATGATCCTTGACGGATTTCCCATCCGATCGGACCATTTCCGGGTGCGTGAGGAGAAACCAGATGGTGTGATCAACCCACAAGGGCCCAATGTCACATGGGTTATCCGTGCCCTCAACCACATTTGAGATAGGGCCGCCCCCGCATTCCAGATTTTCCTGAGGCTGTGCTGTTTGCATGTGATCTCAGCAGGGAGTCCCTTCTGCATTACATCAGGGGCTGGAAGTGAGCACCTGGTTGGGTCAAACTGGTTCATAGTAGGTAGAGTGCTGTCATCGTTGAAGGCTGTCTTTCCCACACCTTGCCTTTGCAGGACACCTTTCAAGGCATCTTCCTGCATTCATGAATCTCACTTTCGGGTACGTCGCGGAGAAACCTGTACCCATTCGTGTTGATAGGTGCTGTGTGGTTGAAAGAGTCCAAAAGCCCGGACCCTTGAGTCATGAGCTTTGGCCATGACCTCCACCCAATGCCGTGAGGCGATGGATAGGAAATTATTTTTCTCAGTGTTACCTCCTACCGGCGATCTCTTCCTTTTTCTGATGGGGACAAGTGCATTGATGAACCTTTTGAGTTCAAGTTTCTCCTCCTGATCATTGAAGTTATCATTGATGCTACCAGGAGGTGAGTCATTAGGTAGAGCGGGTGGTGGTGCTTCCTTCCAAATCTCCATGACCGAAGTCTGGAGTTCAGCTACCCGCTCAGGGAGCGAGCTCAAGTTCCATGTTTCTTTTCCTTGCTCCATCCTTGGCGACATAAGATCTTAAGGTCTTATCGAAATCCTGCCTCTTCCGCTCGTATGTCCCAGCTAGATCAGCCCATTCATTGAAAAAGGACTCCATAAGGAGCGGAAGCTGATTAGCGATGTGTCTTTCGTGCAGAATCTTCATCATTCCGCTGTTAATGATGTTGATCAATGACTGAGTGGGTTTTGAGGCTGGGGGGAGTTCCACCAGGAAAGGGTATCTCCGTATGGTTTCCACCCGCCATCCCCCAACGAGGGCATCCCTATTGTAGCATGCTAAGGCCTCTACACGGGATCCCTTTCGGAGGCCCGGCAGTTCGTGGTGGCCACCCGGCCACCCATTTCAGATGGGCGACCTGGCGGGCCACGCCCATTTTCCAGGGCGCGGCACACGTTCTGGACCAAGCAGTTCCGTTTGAGTTCAGCATTTATTTATTCATTTCCCTTACCTTCTTTAAGTGGTCCTCACGTGACGGTCCCACGCCAGGCCGAAACACCAGTGTTGGGAAAGGGGGCGGGTACTGCAGGTGGGCCCGGGTGAAAAATGTTTTTTAGGTTGCAGGCGGGCCCGGGTGAAACAGGTTTTTTAGGCAGGGACCAAAGGCGGCCCCACGCTACATGGACGCTAAGGCAGGGAGTGAATGCGAGGCCGGACAAAATTGCGTGCGCCGCCGTTCGAAAGTATCCGGATGAATAAAATTGCGCGCGCCGCCGTTCGAAAATCGTTCGAAAGTAGTCGGCTGCAGCCGTTCGAAAACCGTTCGAGCTTCAACGTGCTTCGATGTGTGTTGGAGGGGGGGGAGAGAGAGAGAGAGACAGAGTCGCGCGCTCTGTCGCTAATGGGGAGAGAGAGAGAGAGAGAGAGAGAGAGAGAGAGAGAGAGAGAGAGAGAGAGAGAGAGAGAGAGAGAGCTTCGACGTGCTTCAACGTGTCGGCTGGAGAGAGAGAGAGAGAGAGAGAGAGAGAGCTTCGACGTGCTTCGCCGTGTCGACTGGAGAGAGAGAGAGAGAGAGAGAGAGAGAGAGAGAGAGAGAGAGAAAGAGAGAGCTTCGACGTGTCGGCTGCAGAAATTCGTGCGCAGGAAGCTTCGACGCTCCGTCTTTAAGGGGGAAAAACTTCGACGTGCGTTCGGGAGGGGGAGGGGGGGAGAGAGAGAGAGAGAGAGAGAGAGAGAGAGAGAGAGAGAGTGAGAGAG